ATAGATACAATTGCCTTCTTCGGACTTAATCCGCACGTGGCAATCCTCATGAAGCACACCAACCGAATCCGACAACGATCCTGTCACCTCTCTATCGGAATCGGCTATACCAGCTTTCCTTGTCCGATTCGGCTCCAGCCAACGCATACCGTAGCCGATTTGGCTCATAGCTGATCCATACTCTGTTTCTGTGACCACCGGCTTCCCCCAAATCTGCTTTGGTTCTTACTTCAAATCCAATGCACGATTTACCAATTTTGTCGTTAACAGGTTCGCAAGAAAAAAAAAGGTACGGATGAGTATTCATCAATACCGAATCTTTAAATAAACCAATACTAATAAAGAATTGATGGGTGAGAAATCCTTATTAGTGTCTGGTTTTCTCCACTTGATGCTAATAGGACGATATGAGTGGGTTGTTCTATAGTAGTGGTATTGTGTTAAGTCACCGCGTTTCGTGTTATTTGATAAACATATTTCGTGAGAACTTATGAGCTATCCTATCGAGTACCTCTCTCGCTTAATACTCAACATCATGATTATTATTCTTGAATATTATTATCCTATCGAGTTTTAAGGTTCTCTTCAGAAAAACCCATATGTTGGGTTGGATCAGATCCTAACACAAAACCCAGCAGAGATACGGAAGAAAAGAAGAAAAAGATGGGAGAAGAGGAAGAGAACAAGAGAGCTGACGAGCTATATCTAGATCAAAAATCGCATTATGTGTGTATCTTTAAAATATGGGTATACACCTCGCTAGTAGCGATCATGCTGCCTGGCTACACCCAGTCCGTCTCTCGAGCTCATGTGGCGTCTTTGCTTAGCCTTTATCCACTCCTAGCCGTGCACAACTTATCGCTCCCACAGCACCTACGCGCATACAAGCAAGAGGAGATGCCCTCTTCTTTTCTAGGGGTTTGCTGCTCGAGTCCAGTTGGCACTATGTCTACAAAAAGAGATGCATCTTATGTCTTTATAGCATTGTGCCAACAGATCATGCCTTCAAAGCACAAGGTTCTTGCACCCGAAATGTATGCATAGCCAAACCACTCGCCTGAGTTGGCATGGGTCAAAGTGCCTTCCTCCGCTACAATCCGCATTGAGATGGAGGAGAAATCGACAATCATATGTGATCATGTCACTGCCCCAGAGATTCCAATATATCCATCATGCTAGCGGCAAGTACACTTAGGTATGCGAAAGATAAAACAAGATTTACCAAACCTTTACTCAGTAGTACCACCATGTGAATATGGCTTGATCATACATGATTATGCTTCCTTTGTTTATTTCCATATACTCTGGTTTGGGTATTTTTGTGAGACATCCATAGGCTTTTTAAATTAAGCATGGTTCTTAGATTAAAATAGTTTACTTTAATCAAATTAGACATGGTGTCAAATTTGATTAATGAACCATTAGAGCTAGCACTTTCATGGACATTGGATGTATATCTTCTATGGACTAATGCCTGCAGGAAAGTTTTCAAACCGACGGGTGAGTCCTCAAGTTCAATTCACACTGGAGGTAAATCAGGGCCTATGAAACAAATAAGTAAATTGCTAACATGCAAAGGAGGAACACATCACCTTTGCAAGGTGCATGGTAAGTATACTGTCAAATGCTCCTTTGATTGTGTTCGTGCAATTTTACCTCTGCCCTGTATGAGGTTTTGCTTAAACAAAACTTTGGTGAACAATAAAAATTTTTAAAAAATGTTTTCAAGAATAAGAGACATGACTTTCGAAAAAATAATAATAAATGACAAACTTACGGGATCCACGTTTCTTAAGGTTTGAATTTAGTTCCTCTTTAGCATGGATGTGAACAACTAATCTTGAGGCTATGATAAAAATCTTTTCAATTCTTTGTAGTCCCTCATGTATTTGTTGTCCACTAACCTTTTGCAGGGAATAAAATGACAATCAAGGAGCAGTGTACAATAACTTCAAACACTTATGTCACGCTCCTTGGTCTTATGGGAAAGAGATGCACAAGGAACCACTCAGAACAAATGAAAAACTTTTTGCATTCAATTGAGGTATAAGCTTGGTAAAAAAAACTATCCGATAAGAATCTTCAATACTTTGTGCATCGTCACCCCACGTCTCCATCCTGCTAGGATACCCACCATATCCATTGTTGCCAAAAAAAAGATAAAATAAAATAAAATAAAGTTGTCTCCTTGATCTTCCAACCAAGTGAGTCATTTTTGCTTCACTCTTGTCTTTGTTTTTTTTTTCTTTTTGTCTCCAATAAAGCATCCTAGGTACAAAGACAAGTGTGGGGGTGATCTTGCACATCAACTCCATAACCAAAGCAAGATCACCCTAGAAGTGATGAGCCATGGCAAACCACACAAGGGGAAATTGATGCAGTCAGACCTAATGAGGGGTCAACCAAACCTCCAGTTCGGCTGAACCACCTCTTCCATGGATCGTCCTTTGTTTTATACAGAGGGTAGGTTTGCACAATTTTTTTTCCTTTGGACATCCATTCTATCTTGAGTTTAATTTGATTATCAATTCTAAAACATCGAAGATAATTAAACTCAAGCTAGGGTTGTTACAATTAGAATTCATGGTCTCCCTGAAAATAACATGCATGCCTATTATTCTTAGCTCATTAATTGTTGCGTGTGGTGATATATCCAATAGGGACCCATGCTATCTAGGTAATTAAAAATCCTGCTTTTCATGTTGCACACTTGGGAATTTTATAAAAAAATAATATATAAATATATAACGATGCTAAACTCCTCATTGATATTTTTATTCCCACTAGAGCCATAGGTTGATCATTTATGATTAGCTTGCTACATACGCTGCTCGTTATTACATTGAGCTTTGCCAAAATATTGTGACCCGTGTGAGATGCTTTTCATACTTTCATGATCAAGAACACACATACACTCCACATACACGCATAAATACTAAACTTCTACATTGGAAGCTAGCATCTCTCATGTACCACTCTTTCCATTCATTATCCTCAAAATAAATACTCCATGTCATTTATGCTTCTTCCTCCAAAGTTCTTTCAAAAAAAAGAGATAGAGAGGAATGGGTATGCAAAAAGAAAGAATAAGTCTTGCTCATACAAGTATGGAGCATCATGATGAAAAAAAAAAGGAGAGGAAGCAAAGAAAAAAAAGATAGCCATGCACTCTCCCAAATTTCACAAGACAGAAGAAATGGAGGAGGAGGTATAAAAAAAGGAGTTATTATTATTATTATTTTCCTTTTTCCACCAACAAATTTACTATACACATACACATGCACATTCTTGATCAGAAAGTATGTCTTGTATTTCCGTGGATCCATTATTTGACTTTGCAATATATGTGATACAAGTGATGCTCTACTCTTTTCTATACCCTGAGCTCCACATAAGCCTTATTAGATGGTAGGAAACAATCATATGCCTTTGTGAGGAATCATACACCATTAAGTGATTGAGAAAATCAATTGAGGAGCAAAGCAAAGTTATACTTTTGTGTTACTTGAAAAACCCCAAGTTGTTCTTCATGAAAAGTTAGGGTGGCTTGAGTCAAGATTGTTCCATTTCTCAATTGCCTAGGATCGCATGGTAGATACTACAAAGACCCACAAGTACAAATATGGCTTTGAATAATTTGTTTCCATGATTATTAGTAAGGAAGTCATAACCCTTTTGTAGAGTCCATAGCCTTCACTCGGGACGAGCAAAGGTTAAGTGTGGGGGTGTTGTTGACGGTCCTTAAATCATAATATCTGACCGTCAATGCCTACATATAATGAAATAAAATGAGGTATCTAACTTAGTGATAGGGATTATTACCTAGTGTTGGTGAAATATGTGTATGCAGGTATTTTATGGATGAAAACCACCCGTCATGCGACAAAATACACCTCCGGACAATCAGGACAATTTTAGGCGGATTGGAGGGTCCATATGTCAATCAAAACCAATTAGAATTAAGCCAAATCAAAGTACATGATGTTGGGGGCCCATTAAGCAACCTCCTAGTCGAAGAAGAGGCCGGAAGGTGGGCTTTTGGGTTCGGCCGAACCACCAGTTCGGCCAAACCCTTCCTAGCACCTCCCACCATCTGCTTCCTCATGTACCTGCCTGATTACTCCTCAATGACGGTTGGAGGGCATTTAGGACATTTCTCATAGCTGTAACCGTCATATAGAGCCTATAAAAAGAGAAGCTCATCTTACTTCCATCACACACAACTTTGAGCTGAATCACAGGAGGCTCTTATTTTATATTTTTTTGACTGAGAGAACCCAAGTAGAAAAGATGTGTTTGTCCTCGGTCCAGCAACATGTAGCCTTCGCTAGGTCTGGTTCAAACAGGAATGAAGCCTCACTCTCTTCCTACACTACAGTGCACTTCGAACCAGACCTTACCGGGATATATGCCACTTGTTTGAGGGGTAAACTAATCATTTCTAATTGTTTCTATCTCTTAATAATAAAATAATGGCCACGGCACCCTCTGGTAAATTATCAGTTTTTCGGTGTCCTTGACCGTCTCATGTTTTTACGGTGTACCACAAACTTTGAGTGTCACGTGGCAAATTTTACCTATGCAAATAATTATCCCTCAGAAAAAGAGATTACTTAATTTACAATTATTTAAAAGAACCATGCAAAATATATAACCTTCAGAAATAATTAATGCAACAACAATAAGAGTTATTAGGAAACGGATGGAGTATGAAGCTCGACATTTTTTAGGTCTTCAATGTGTAACTTTGGCTGTAAGTTTATATTAGAATGAGTTTATAAAATCAAATAAATTTAAGAGATTGTGTAGGTATTTTCCAAGATAAACCTACACATAATATTTTCATGTTTTGGAACTTAGAATTTTAAAAGTTATTGATGGTAAATGTATTAAAAGTTTGACCAAATCTTGTCTAAAAGTCAAATATTCATGACCAAAGATAGTATAAGTATGTACTTGCTCCAAAATCAAATGAAAACCTGATGTATATTAGGAGAAAATAAAAAGGGTAAAACAAACTTCATATGATTAGGACATCTTCAGAATCATGCATACAAATGGCGTCCTCGTTGTAGTACAGTAGTTACTAATTAGTCCGTGTACTACAGAAGATTATTCCAGTCTCTGGATTGTAAGGAAGGTAAACAAGAGTGTACGTGGGACACACAGATTAATCAACTGGTTCAGTATCTCACAGGACAGTCCGTTAACAATCAAATTAACTGTTATAAACTCCAACAATTTTCCCTATAAAACATGAGAACAGAAGCTTGAGAAGAATACTAAACGGTAGTTTGGTCTTATCGGCCATCTGGATGCATCATCTCTGAGAAGACAGCCTTTTGTCCAGAGATGCTCATAGTTGAGCGGGATGATGGTTGCAACCTGGTCGTTAAAGGCGATGATAACACGTTCAATGCTGTCTCTTCGCAGTTTTCCTCTGCACTCTCCTGCAGCTGTAGTGCAACCTCGAGGTTCCACAGGACATCACCCATGGATGGCCTGTTCATGCTGTAATCAGCAACACACTGCTCTGCAGTCTCTGTGAATTTCCTGAAGCACTGTGGGGTGATTTCCCCTTGGAGATGGGGGTCAATAATCTCACTGAGTATGCCTTTCTTACGGCAAGACAGTGCCCAGTCACGCAAGCTCACTTGCTCCTCTGGAAGTTCAGGGTTTATTACCGGACGTGCGCATAGAACCTCGAACAAAAGAACCCCAAAGGAGAAGACATCTGATTTCTTGGTGAGTTTCTGCCTTCGAAAGTACTCCGGGTCAAGATATCCAAAGCTGCCTTTCACAACAGTGCTCACATAGGTTTTGTCCTTGTCTGTGCTAACCTTGGACAGCCCAAAATCTGAAACCTTTGCCACCCATTTGCCATCCAACAGAATGTTGGTACTCTTCACATCGCGGTGGATGATGGTCTGCTTCGCACCAGTGTGTAGGTAATGCAGCCCCAACGCTGCACCGATGCAGATCTCAAGCCGTTGCTTCCATGGAAGAGGTGGCTTTTGGGAGCCATACAAGTGCTCTTGAAGGGTACCATTTTCCATGTAATCTCACACAAGGATCATCTCGTTCTCGTCTTCGCAATAGCCAATCAGAGAAACTAGGTGGCGATGACGGAGCTTGGACAACATCTCAATCTCTGTCTGAAATTCGTTGATACCCTGCTGGGACAGAGGGTCTCCACGCTTGATTGCCACCTTCATTCCATGATCTAACTCACCCTTGTATACATTCCCAAACCCGCCTTTGCCAAGGAGAAAGGCTTCATCAAAGTTACTGGTAGCTTCCTGGATTTGCAAGAACGTGAATTGGTGGCAAAGGTTGGATTTCTTTGAGAGCAAGGTGGCTAATAACAACTCTTTGTTCGTATTTCCATGATCAACTCTTTTCTTTCGTATGTTGATAATATACATGCTCAAACTGGCAATCAACAGCACCACCAAAACAAAAATAGCTCCACCAATGGTTGCCAGACGAGGATCCCCATCACGGTGGCTCCAGGGAATAGGGTTCATTCCAGCAAGGTTACTTTTGTTGACATCCTGTAGCTTGAAGACCTCAAGACCATTCAGAATTGCATCAACAAATTCTGGGTTGGTTTCAACATCAGGGTGAAGTGCAACTCTCAGGTCTGTCTGACCATAACCAATTGGGCCAACTATGTAGTTGGTGTAGATTGGCACACCAATTCCTCCACTCAAAACAATGACATCCATCTTCTGTGCTGTCTGGTTGTTGATGTATACAAAGAACGTCCTCTGGTTCGCCTTGGTTATTGGGTGCTGGATCTCACAGAAATGGAGCCGTAAAAGATAGTGGAATCCTGCATCAATCGGTAGAATCCATGTAAGATTGTACCTCAAGTTGATATATCCCTTTAGCCCCATGGACCTTGCTGTCTCATATAGACCAACTGGGGCTATGTAACTTGGCATGGTACGAGGGTAACTGATGGTTACAGTGTCATCCTTGAAAAAGTTCAGGCCTGAGTCTCCAGAAATGTAAGGGGAATCCTTGCCCCATGTGCGACAAAATTCAGAATCATCTTTTGGGGAGATTGTCTCACCCCCAACATTAAGACGATACATCGTCTGAAGGCCTATATTAACAGAGATTGGGAATGGATCTGAGATTCCAACATTTAAAAATGTTGGCGCAGGTTTCGTGAAAATATCAGGAGTGGACACAACCTCAATGCCATTCACAAACGCATAAGAACCGGTGTGGTGAGGAGACAGGGAAAATGTGACATCGAGATCACCCGAAGGAACATTCACTGAGTATTCAAGGATGAGATAGGTTCGACCCATCGCATGAGCTACCTGGGAAGGATTAAAATCATTCAGAAGGACAAGGATCCCAGCAGTGACACTAAACAAGGCATCTGCAGCAGCACGATCAGCATACTCAGTAGGATAAAAGTAGAGGCGAAGGAACACACGACCAGGGTTAAGACCAAACCAATATGTGAAATTGGAACTAAATATGCGTGCCGTCATGTAAGGCACTGGGGAGGGAAGCAAGGGGTCTAGGTATGACGCGTTGGCTGCCAAACCATCCAATGCTAACTTGGAGTTAGCATCCCCTTCCCAAGTTCGACCATCAGAATCAATGGCAGTGCTGGTGCCACCACATCTAAGGCGGATTTGGTGAGGACCTGTGAAGTTACCAGCCACCACATCAAGTAACAAGAGAGAGAACAGTGGAATGCACAGGAGGGTAGCCAGTTCTGTTCTGTTAGCCATTCCAGCTGCTGGGTGTATGAAGTTGAGTCATGTGAGGATTTCTGTACAACAGAATAATATAGGGAAATATAAGCCTATAAGGTGTGTTACATCTAAGAGCAGTTGTTCTGTCATGCTAGAATATTGGAAACCTTCTATGGATATGCAAAAAGATTTAGAATAACAATTAACTTGTGTACAGTATTCTTGTTCATGAAGTAGATACAACCACAGAGAGCTAGATATTTGACCTGAAATTATCAATGGAAGGGAAAAAAACTACACTTTGTGATTAAAATCTGAATCAAGAAAAAATATTAATTAACTACTCCCTCCGTTCCAAAATATAAGCATTTTTAGCATAGTGAGAAGTCAAACATTTTCAACTTTGACTATTAATAGCAAAAAAATAGAAAAGATCACTCATATAAAATTGATGTTACTAGATTTATCATTAAACAAACTATCATAATATATAGCTCTTTTTATTTAAAATATCTTACTTTTATAGATTTTATTGGTCAAAGTAGCATCTTGGAGACTGTGTCATAGTCCAAAAATGCTTATATTTTGGGACAAAGGGAGTATAAGATTCTCCTTGATTGATTTAATTGTTCTTCTATTTTCCCTTTGTATGATTTTTCAACAATAAAGGCTAGTAAAAATTTTCAGATATGTGGATCTATTTCCAAATTGACATACAGTGACTACAATTTCATTCAAGATAAGGGTGATTTCTCATATCAAATCAAATATTAACCTTTTTGTTGCTCCAAAGGAGATTCTTTGTATTTTACGATAATATGAATACGAAAAATATCTTCATAATCTGATGATTGGTGTCGTTTAATTCATTGAATTATCTCACCAGTTAAGCAGTTATGTTTTATGTAAGCACCTATAGCACATGGCAGATCTTCAATCGAATCTTGGCCATCATGTAAGGGTTTATAGATTTGAGTATAGAAAGATAGCTGCATACCAGTAAGAAAACCTCCAGAACAACAAACCAAATCGCATTTCAAACAACAAAAAAGAAACTACCTCAAAGACGGAAATGATGAAACAAGGAGATTGAAATTACCTCATAAGATACTCGAAGCTATCATTTGCCAAAGAAATAGAGGTTTAACCTATAGGACATGATAAAATGGGAGCTGCGGCTTGTCTGGTCGATGTAGAGATCAGGTGACTACATGATGAGATTATGGAGGACATATGGTAGTGGATTTTGACAGAAAAGTACCTATTATTTCAACAAAATTGGAAGAATCACTTCTTGGTTTCTTTATTTGAATTATTATGTCACTAAGGTTTCTAATGTCAATGCGTCAAACATCCATGAATCGTCGGGTTCACATTAGTCGTACAAAGTAGGGTTAGTTCTTTACCAACTTCCGAAACCACTATATCAAAATGCTAGTTTAAGTAAAACTTGGTCCATCAAAATTCAAATGAGACATAAATATATCACACAATATGTTATAAAAGTTAGTCGATATAGCGGAACAACGACTAACCCTCCCGATCGCTTCACATCCCCGGGGCTTTGATTATGGGCGCTCCTCCCCAACCAACATAGCGCCTAGCCGATACGAGTCCATAGCACGCCGCCATCATCTCCTTGCGTGTCTACGCTATATTGTAGTCACCATGGTTATATTGTGGTGCCCCCCTCTCTATTTAAGAGAGATCCCGGGTTACAGAGTCCAACTCTAACTCCACCCCTTAACACCTATTACAACTCCAAGTCCAACTGTAACCAAATAGGACTAGTATATTCGACACCTATTCTAACATAATATGTTGATAGCAATGTAAAAATGGTTTACCTACTTTCCAGATAATTTCGTAAATTCGCTTACCAATAGACAAAGGTTCTGAAAACCAACAGACACAAATCGATTATTGACATGTATACCTATTTTTAAGCATACAAAAATAGCTGCAGTAATGGTTAATATTGTTTTGGCTGACTGCAAATATTGTTAAGTGCATGATGGACTCACACCTAGTTAAGAGTTTGAATGCTTTGATTACAGTCAAAACGGTAAAACTAGAAGAAATGTAACATAACTTACAAAGCTTGGGTGCAGTCTTTTTCTGGAAATGCCAGGTTCTACCTAGCACAACATAATCAATGCTACCACCAATTCCATGTGCTTATTGAGTCACAGCCCCTACCCACATGATACTGATCTAATCACCAAAAAGAACAGGTCGAAGCATGTACATGATGAAACGAGAAAATAATACAGAGAAAAATGAGGAACAAGACCATGGACAGAGAACACAACAAAGAGTGAACAACATGTTCTGCGACTAAATAGTTTAAGTGCCTAATTTAGACCTAGACCCAACCATCAGAATACAATTAAAAAAAAAGAGGCAGGTATCTGCAAATGAAATGGTGCCATAAAATGCATAGTATCAGATCAGAAATCTGGAAACCTTATGAGGGTGCCAAAGAAAATTAACTAATAATCCTAGTGGTATATATGAGGAGGCATTCTGCTAAATGGCAACGCAGTAGCTTTCACAAGAGACCAGTGAATTGTCCTGTGTAGCATCTCAGAATTGACAATAGAAAGTTCAGTATTTGTACCTTTGCGATTTCATTTCTTCCTATTGAGGATTTGTAGTGCCGTTGCTAGAAGGAAATGAAATGAATATATGACGACTTTGACTCCAATGTCTTAAACAGATATACATACGTACAAGTAGAATATCTGCGTCATTCTCTTTGTTTAGGAACTACAGAATTTGTGGAGCACTGAAATCAATGTTAAGAACTGTATTCTGTTAAAGATATATATAATATGCTTTGTAGATCCCCAACCAACAGGTCATCCACAGAAGGCTTACTATCTTAGTATGTCTTTTTCATATACAATCAAAGACCAACGTCACACTTGCTTAGTACCAACTATCACTCAGGAATGGTGTGGGACAGAAACACAATCAGCAAAGAAGATAAATGGAGGAAGGGCACTTCATTAGAAAAACATAACATAGTCCCCAAGTCATTCGAAATGGTGGTTTTAATTTTTTTTAAAAAAATCACAAGCATATATACATATCCTTGGTATATTTTCCAATTTTTCCAAAGCAGAAGGGCGACAAGAATAATCCTTTTAGCTTCTCGCTTGCGGAAATCCTGTTTGGCGATCGATCGCTCTGGGGATGGATCAGCGATCGATCCCCTCCCCCTCCCTCCCTCCACCTGGTTTCTTTTTTTGGCACCCTCCCTCCACCTGGTTTTCATTTTTGGCACCGCATTACTTTTCTATTTTAGTAAATTTATACACCTAAAGTTTATACATCTCCAGTTTACACATCTAAAGTTTAGAGACCAAAAGTTTATAAGTCAAAAGTTTATATATCCGATTCAAATTTGAATTTGAATTCAAATATTTTTTATATATATAGTATTTTTATACATCTAAAGTTTATACACCTAAAGTTTATAGACCTAAAGTTTATAGATCTAAAGTTTATAAGTCAAAAGTTTATATACCCGTTTCAAATTTGAATTTGAATTATATCTGATTCAAATTTGAATTTGAATTTAAATATTTTCTATATATAGTATTTCTATACATCTAAAGTTTATACACCTAAAGTTTATAGATCCAAAGTTTATAAGCCAAAAGTTTACATACCCGATTCAAATTTGAATTTGAATTCAAATTTTTTTTATATATAGTATTTCTATACATAAATTTTTCTAACTTTTGTTTTTTAAAAAAATTTGTGTGGTGTACTGTAGTAGAAAGAGAAGAAGAAGAGGAGGAAGGGGAGAAGAGGGAGGAGTATAGGGGGAGAGACGGGGCCAACCGATCGCTGGGCGATCGCCCTGGCGATCGCCATTAGCCTCCCCCTCTCGCTTGAGCTTTTAGCATTGAAAGACATGGCCCAGGAATGCGCCAGTTCGATTAAGCATGTCAGGGCATGCAAAGTGTGCAACACGACAAGCTAGTCAAGCTAAAGTTATGGGGCCTCTGAGTACCGATTTCTCGAATCAATTTCATATCTAATTCGTTTATTTAATTTAGTGAGCACATCATAAGAACAGAATACATAGAAAAATATTCACATTGACATGGCAATCAAGCAAGCAGATAACCTTGCATGCACTAAAACTCACCGGTGAACATGCGATTCCACAGCCATTTGTTGCGAGGCCACCGTCCCTCTCCTAGACATTCCATCGAACATCTCGCGTGCACACTGTAGCAATGCCAGGGTACAGACGCACGAACGAACTCGTTCTCACACCGTTAAAAAACAAGAAGATAATAAGTACACGTCTGACTGCATGCCACCGAAAAGGATGCTTGTAGAGATTGGTGATATTGTTAATCCCACCTTGGTGGTTTCGCGGTTAGGCGAGCACCACCCCACCAACAACCCCCCCCCCCCCCAACCCACCCAAAAACGGCTGCCGTGCCGATACCTGCTCGTCTTGACCGGCCGGAGTCTAGAACATATCGTCCCAGGAATTTCCGTGCAGCCACCGCTCGCAAGTGGGTGTCGCCGCGTCGGCATGATAGATCGGTTCAATTCAACCTCGTGAGTTGTGATATTTGTCGCTTTGGGTAGGACTAGGAGCCTGAAATTTTTACATTTTGATCCTTCTTGAAAACTTATTTTACAAATAAACCTCTGCAAAACTTATTCCGAAAATGATCTTTTTTTTTTCGCCAGAGAGGCTGACGCCGCCCTCCAACATAGCGGCACCAGCCACCCTGGTGCCGTCTCCGTGCCACCGTGGAACTGGGGGAACGTGGAAGGTGTGACGTGGCAAATGAGGGCGCAAGCCACACTGGCGCTGCCCCAGCTACCACGGCGCCAGCACAGCTGGCGCACTCGTCCTGGGGGAGGGGGGTGCCCTCAGCCCCTTCTACCTTGGGCGGGAGGCTGGCGCCGCCCCCACCACCCCACCCCCTTTTGCCTCGGGCGGAAGGCTGGCACCACTCCACCCCCTCTGTCTCTACTTACTTGCTGGCGCCCTCCCCCCCACCCCCCAAAAGCACGGCACTATGGCGCAGCCCTCCCGACCTCTAGAACCATATGCCAATTCACAGTTCGCAAACAATGCATTGCAAATTCATAGTTCACGGGTCGCAAACATCGGAACCAATTTACAGCAAACATACAAAACAAAACTAGTCCACATCGAACATCACATAATCCACATAATGCATAAGTCCATCACATAGTCCAATTCATAGGAAACATACAAAACAAAACTAATCCACATCAAACATCACATAGTCCATAAGTCCATCACATAATCCACAACTCCATCACATAATCCATAAGTTCACAAGTCCATCACATAATCCACAAGTCCATCGCATAGTCCATAAGTTCACAAGTCCACATGTGCATTAAACAAGTTAACACATATCAGAAAAAGTTAAACTTCCTAGAAATCACTTCTTGCGTTGACGCCAAAGAGCTTGCGAGCCTGGAGTGTACCTATATTTGAAAAACCAATGTTCACAACATTTACAAATCGAAGCGAGGGAAATCAAATAACATATGAGAATGGTAAGCCCAGTGTAACTCTTTTTCCTTGACCGAGTGGATCGTAAGTTGTAGGTGGTGGGCTGCGACGCCTGAGACACATCGGGCAGCTGCAACATGCCTATCTCGTCTGCGTCTGGTGTGATGTAGTCGTCGTACAAAAATAAACCAAACAACTTTTAAAATTGTTACGGTATACCCCATTCACCATTCACCATACAGGACTGACTTTACCGGGGGCATCGTCAAAATATGTCTACGTACAGACCATTCGGGGTCGCTTTGACTTTTCTTTTTATTAGAAACGTTTGACCATTTGTATTATTTCAAAAATTAGTGCAAATATAAAAAAGATTCATACTTAAATTGATAATAAAGCAACTCAAAAAAGAGTAAATAATAATTCCATAATTTTTTGAATAAGACGAATGATAAAACCTTACAAACAAAAACTCAAAGCGACAAGTATTTTAGGATGGAGGTAGTACTCTCTTCATCCAGAATATAAATATCTAGATAACTTGCCATGCCGCATCCTCCTTAAACTCGATCTCTTCTGGATAAATTTCCTTAAATAGATTAATTTCTTTAACCGAATCCTCCATGAATCCGACTGCTGGCGACTTGATAACTCCCATCGGTTGATTCCAGAACTCTAAAGCTGATATTGATTTTAGGCTGATGACATCTTTGGGGCTTACCAAATTTCACTATCAACATTGGTGGACAGCATGGTGGCGACGGCGAAGCGGGACGGTGCGGCTGCTGGGTGACGACGATTGAGTGGGGGCTCCTCACTCTCACCTCCCTCCCGTTGCCCCTGCCTCCATTCATGACGAGATGCGGCGTCGGAAGCAGGCAGCGTGGGTGATCCTAGCTAGCTGGGGCGGCACGATGGAGAGGGCGGTGGGTAGCAGCGAGGTGTCGACAGCGGAGTCCTTTCGGACGGCGGCGGCCTGAGTGTCGATGTCCTGTCCGTGGCAGGATGAAGATGGTTCGGGCGGTGGTCCCGTAGGCAGTGGCGGCGGCCCGGGACAGTGGTGGTCTGAGCACCGGCGCAAGGATCTTGTCGAGGAGCAGGTGGAGGTCGACCTTGGCGACAGCGGCGGCCCAGGACAGCAGCGACCTTAGCTCTGGCGCAAGGCTCTTAGCGAGGAACAGGCGGAGGTCAACCCAGGCGGCAGCGGCGGTGGGCCTAGGGGCAGCGGGACACCGGGACCCGGGACGGCAATGGCTTGAGCACCGGCACGACGCTCCCAGCGAGGAGCAAGGCTGAGGTTGACTCTAGCGGCGGCAATGGCCCTATGGGCAACGGTGGCGCCCTGAGAACGGGCACAGGACTCTCAATGAGGAGCAGGTGGAGGTCGGCCCCAGCGGCGGCGGGCTGGGAGTACAAAAGGCGGACAAACATCCTCTGACGACAACGATGGCCCTATGGGCGGCAGAGGCCAAGGAATTTTGGCGAAGTGGAAGTCGATCCCGTCGGCTCGCGGCTAGTTCTGACTAAACACCGAACGATGATGGATGAAAGTCAGATGAAGATGGCACCAACGAAGGTTGACAACGACGGCACACTAGGGGCCGCGGCGACTAGACGACTTCCACTCGCTAGTATGTCGGGAAGAAGAGAAGGAGGGGTGTGCCGAGGTCATTTGTTTTTCTTTTCTTTTTTGATTGAGTGTTCTCCTCCTTGTTGAGGTGTGAGTCTAAGTGTTCTTATATCCTTTTGGCTCTGTATATCCTATCCTTCATGTATATAGAGGCCGGACTAATGAAAATCTATTATCTAAAAAAAATCTTCCACTCACACCAAAGCCAAATATAATCCACACAAACAAAACGAGCTCCTGCCAAACTTGGTAAAGGTGATAGGCACCGAAAGCCACCTCACTTCCAATGGACGGCAGAATCCCAGCTATAGCTAGCTAGCTTAGGTTCTTCGTTCCGGGATCAGTTGACAGTGTCCCCCATCACATCTGCTTCCCCTCTGCATCGTCTGTCAATACGATCCGCGGTTCGGCTGGTTTCCACTTTCTCCAGGCAGACTGGCGTTTTTCCAAGCTGTCATTTGCTAGTGGTTGCTATTAGTGATTTGATTGGAACCTGTAGTACCGGCTAGTGGATGTCGTTCACATCTGATGTTCCAAGAAGCAAGAGCAGCGAATTAACCAGGTTTGTTCATACAGCAACGAGCAGCAGGAAGCAATTGCACATTGTTTGAACATTCACTGAACCGGGAGGTGAGATAGCCGTTCCTTGACTCATGTCATCACTCATCACATCTGATCAGGGTCAATGAGGAGGAATATCCAATATTACCTTTGTTTATTACCAACCTCTTGAAATTAAGATACTTGAACAATGCTGAAAAATTCTGGAAATACTTCAAGAGTAGGGCACTGGTATTATATACATACCAATACCATCCTGAAAATGTTAGAGGACGGTCAGGGCACCAAGGTTCAGTGTTGTGCAATATGATCTATGATGCTGATCTACTTGTAGTTTAATACAGGATGGGATCAAACAGCTGAAAGTACAGAACTTCTCGTAGTTGTAAAAGGGAGTATGTAGTCAAAACTCAGAAAGGGATAAGTGGGTGATATCTTCCATGCTCTTTTATTACAAGATTACAACTGCATTAGGAGGTAAGAATCTCAACCCCCTTCAATTTAGAGGTACCTATACAATTACTGCGATTTTGAAAGAAACATAGATCTGCTAAAGAACTAAAACATACATATATTTAGCCCAAAATGATGCATAGCAAGGCTAGTAGAGCAAGTAAGATAACTATACAATTAGCTATTCCTGACAAGAATTCTGTTGAGGCACACCACAAATCTAGGGAGCAATATTAGAGCTTGCAATTTGATTTTCATCTTCCATCTGGTGTCATGAGCTGGGAGAAGATGTTGCTTGGGGTCAGCCCATCAGACTCCACGCTCGCAATGCTACGGTCAGTGATGCTCAAAGAAGTTGTCGTTGTAGTGGTAGTAGTCACGTCGGTCGACGGCTCATCTGAATGCAGCCTGGCCACAACCAGCGGCGACGTGCTCGCTGACGTCCCCTCGGTCAGGCTGCTACTGTCCTCCGTGCTCTCCTGCAGCTGGAGCGCAAACTCGAGGTTCCAGAGCACATCACCCATGGACGGCCTGTCGACGCTGCGATCGGCCACACATTTCTCCGCGGTCTCGGCGAACTTCAAGAAGCACTGGGGAGCGATCTTCCCTTTGAGGAGTGGGTCAATGATCTCGCCAAGAACACCTTTCTTCTGGCAACGCAGAGCCCAGTCTGCAAGGCTCACTTGCTCCTTCGGAAGTGATGGGCTCAGGGCGTTGCGGGCGCACAGGACCTCGAACAGCACAACTCCGAAGGAGTAGACATCAGATTTCTCGGTAAGCTGCTGCCGTCGGAAGTACTCAGGATCAAGGTATCCGAAGCTGCCCTTCACCACTGTGCTCACATGGGTGTTGTCCACGTTTGGACCGGCCTTGGACAGCCCGAAGTCGGAAACCTTGGCAACCCACTTGTCATCCAGCAAAATGTTGGTGGTCTTGACATCGCGGTGGATGATGGTTTGCTTTGCACCCGTGTGCAGGTAATACAGCCCACGGGCGGCGCCGATGCAGATCTCCAGCCTCTGCTTCCACGACAATGGTGGGTTCTTGGTGTTGTACAAGTGTTCTCGAAGTGTCCCATGAGCCATGTAGTCATATACCAAAATCATCTCATTCCTATCCTCGCAGTACCCGATTAGAGACACAAGGTGACGGTGTCGGAGCTTGGACAGCATCTCAATCTCATTCTGGAACTCATGGACACCCTGCTCAGACAGCGGGTTCCCACGCTTGATTGCAACTCTAGTGCCACTGTCTATCTCTCCAAGGTAAACGTTGCCAAATCCACCTTTGCCGAGGAGGAAGGATTTGTCGAAATTGTTGGTGGCAGCCTGGATTTCTGCAAACGAAAAGTGCCGGCAAAGATTGGCTGGCAGCATCGAGTGGCTCCCTGTGTTGGTTGTCTTTCCTGAGGTGGCTGACTGTGACTTGGTGAAATCAGTGAGAGGAGTCCAGCGTCCTTCATCAGATTTGCCAGTATCCTTTGCTACCTTCTTCTTTCGTCTACAGATGATGCACAATCCAACACAAGCAATCAACAACACGGCAAGGCCACCCACTGCTCCACCTATGGCTGCTGGGGCAACACTCTTTGATTTACCTCTACTAGATCCCCCATTGGGATTCACACCAGGCTTTGGTGGAAGTGGAGGGTTGAGCCCAGCAAGGTTATTTCTTCCAAGGTCCTGTAGCTTGAAGACCTCAAGGCCATTTAGTATTGCATCAAAATACTCTGGTTTGCTTGAAAGATCAGGGTGAAGCGCGACCCACAGGTCCGTCTGGCCAGAACCAACCGTTGTGACAACATAGTTGGTATATGTTGTTCTGCCAATTCCTCCACTCCAAACAATGACGTCCATTTGATTCTGCGCCGTCTGGTTGTTGATGTAAATGAAAAATGATCTCTGATTCACCTTGGTTATTGGATACTGGATCTCACAGAAATGGAACCTCAAGAGGTAGGTGAACCCCGCATCAACCGGTAAGATCCATGTAAGATTGTAGTTCAGGTTGATCTGTGCAGTTGGCCCCATTGACCTTGCTGTTGCGTAGACTGCAACTGGTGCAGTGTAATTTGGCTCAGTATTTGGATATTTGATGGTGACATTACCATCTTTGGAGAAGGTCACCCCATAGGCAGCACCATATATGTAAGGAGAATCATTATCCCAAGAACGATAGAATCCAGAATCACCTTGCGGAGAGATGGGCTGTCCCCCAACATTGAGCCGGTACATCGTTTGGAGACCCATCACAGGATCTATGCCATATTGCACATTGTCCCCGCCATTGGCAGATGTAGGTGTCGGTGTTGTGAAGATGTCAGGCGTGGGCACAATCTCAATCCCATTCACAAATGCATAAGACCCGTTTCGTGTGGACGGGGCAAAGGTGAGTTTTAGGCTGCTTGAAGTGACATTAACCGAGAATTCTCGAAAGAAGTAGGCAGAGCTTGTTGCCAGAGCAGTTTGTGATGCGTTGAAGTTGTCTAAAAGGATCAGATTGTTGGTTGTGACACCAAAGTAGGCATTTGCAGAATCAAGGTTCCCATTATAATTAGTTGGATAGAAGTGTAGGCGCACGAACATGCGGCCTGGGCTGACAGGGAAGGAATAGGTGTAATTTGAAGTGAAGAATCGAGCAGTCATGTAAGGCACGGGTGATGGGAGCGAAGGGTCTTGGTATGAAGCCCTGGCTACATTGCCTTTCACCGATGGCGCAAACTTGGAGCTAGCATCCCCATCCCAGCTCCGATTGTAGCTATCAGGTTGCACACCAGAGGCTCCACAATTCAGAAAGATTGGAGCAGAGGCCGTGGAATTGTTATCAGCCGCCATGGCAATCGATAGGAGGGCTGACAGTGTGAGCCATTGGATGGTAGCTAGTAGGCTTGGGTGCATCATTGAAGTGGTGGTTGGTGTATCAGGATCAAAAGTTTGAGGATTCGTTCACATCAATTTGCTATAAGAGTTGGGAACACTTGCATAATGCCTTTTCTCTGGGTGGGATTTGAGGCAAGGAAAATGTAGAGTTTGGAGGATTGTACTCTTGTTTACTGAAGAAAGCACATCCAGATAGCTGTAATCCTGTAGATTCACCTGCAATCAGAGCAAACGAAGGGTTCGGAAATTCTGCAAATTGTAGATTGGAAAGATGAATAACAAGAAATGGATCCCTAATAATAGCACAAGTTTATCTGTTTAGATGATAAAATATTGGAAGCAAACTGAATATAAACCATACCGAGAAGTACTATGAAACACGGTAGTAATTTCTGCTGAAGAGAACAGAATTTGAAAGTTACGGCAAAACCTTTTGGTTTGATCCATTTTCTAGGTTATTATTATTACAAATTTCGCACCATCTACTGTTACAAAAAGAGATGTGTCGGACACCAGAACATTAAGTTGTCGATACTGAACGCGACAAATCCTTTGTCAAAAACTAATATAAGTCAACAGGTAAAATGTTAGAAATTTGTAACTAAAACCAAAAGAAAAATCTAAAAAGGGAGGAAAATAAACACGATCAAAGCTCCAGAACGATCATTTCGCATATGGGGAAAACTAACAGAATAAAAATCGCCCGTATTTCGCTAGTTCCGATCCCCATCTGCAAAACCGGCGATCCTGCAGTTCTGCTGATGAGAAGGGATCATAATACTAAGTACTCCAACTCCATTGCATGCAGCAAAACAGAAATACAAAGAGAACTCGATCGATTAGCTCAACTGATCAACCACCCCCACCCCCCAAACCTCCCAGCCCAGATTTGGGGTTTTTCGCTGGGCCAAAATTTCGCGCCAAGAATAGCAACCCCATAACCAAGAACGTACCCCAAGAATGGTAGCCGCGGCGGCCACGGAGCACAACCAATCCAAGCAGGAAGAACTAACAGGAGAGGAGATGAAGAGGCAAGAGCTAGTACCTCGTCGACCTCGCGGCGTCGGAGAGGGAGAGATGGACTCCGCGCGCCCCGCGGCAGTTTCTAGTTGCTGCGCGTGTTTCGGTGGCCAAAACGATGGTGGGAAATCGAGCTCGGGTCCGTAGTGGAGTTGAGGGGTGGATGATGGGCTCGTGCTAGTGCTAGTGCTACTCTTGTATATAGTGGAGTTTCACGGAGAGGTCCCTCTGTTCTCCACAAATTCGTCGTTGCTTTTCTCTTTCTTGTTCTTGTTCAGCTTCCTTTCTTTTTCTCCCATTCAATAAATTATTCTCATTTTTCTCCATTCCGGTGTGATGATGGTTTCTTGGTTATCTTTTTGTTTGGTATGGATGAATTATGGGGGTCAAGTCGGCACAATGGCACGCCCCTAGTTTTGTCGACGATGCCCTGCTTGGGGTTATAGACTTATAGTTGTGGAAAATCCAGTTGTCGGGTGAGCTAATTAACATTCTGTGGTGTTAGAGAATGCATGTGGTTGTTTGGTGTGCTTTTGTCGGGGAAACACTGAAACGAACTAATTTACCGGGCGCATTCTTTTCGGTCCGTAAGTTTTGACTGATTAGCTGCACGCAAAACAATAAACACAATTAGCACAGAATTAATTAAGAAATAATTATTAAGATGTTAAAAAAATAAATTTATTTGATTTTTAAAAATACCTTCTATCTATAAAGTTTTTCACACGCAATATTCCGTTTAGCAGTTTGAAAAACTGAAAAAGGATGAGTAGCCTGTGTAGCCAAGCTCAATTAGCTCATTACAACCGTAGACAGAATTGAGGAGAACTGTGTTTAAGTCATTTGCATTGATTCGGCCTCATGATTTTATTTTCTTTGTAGATCATCTATCAAGTTCAAGACATACGGTGTTCTGTTGATTGTTATATGCGTCACATTCGATAGAAATTTTCACTACTACACAAAACAGCAAATAGGTGTCGACGCTGTAGATACCGGAAGTGCTAAAACCGGCACCTATAGGTCTTTTTTCACCTCCACGGATTGAAAACAAAGAAAAATCGGCACCTTTAAGTGATTATAGGTACATTAGGTGTCATTTTTCAAAAAAAAACAACACCTTAAATTATTTATAGGAGTCGAATTTTTTAATGAACCGACACCTATAATAAATTAAAGGTGACACATTTTAAAAACCGAGCCGAGCCGAGGAGCGGATAAGACCGAGTGAGCGGTCGACAGCGCTGAATGAGCGGACAACTCTCTCTCTCTCTCTATCTCTCTCTCTCTCTCGCTCTCATCAGCGCGGCTCCCATGGGTGGCGGTGGCGCCCTCCTCTCTACCAGATCCAGCCGGGGGGGAGGAGGCGGCGACTGCGGCGGCGGGAGGCGCCCTCCCCTCCGCCAGATCTTGCCGGGAGGGGAGTCGGCAACAGCAGGAGGTGCTGTGACGGCCCGACAGCGGCCTCCCCACCCAGTGGTGGTGGCGGCCCGACAGCAGAGGCGGCTAAGGTGGCCCTTGAAGAAGTTATTCATGTTGTGTTCCCCTTGAAGGAGGTGTTCATGTTGTGTTCTTGTGCTCGGTTGTAAGGGGTTGAACGGGAGAAGGGAATTGCTTATTCGAGCCGATGCATTGAGCCGGTATTTTTTTTTTTTTGCGTTCCAGAGACCTCAAAGGTGTTGGTTCTGGAACCCGGCACCGATGACGGAAGTTATTTGTAAGGCCTTCATGGTGTCTGTTGGGAAAACTGGCACCTAAGGGGGTTTCTCAACCGGCACCATTTAGAGTTTATGTAGTAGTGTTTGGGACGATTTCTTGTACATTTCCGATCTTAGGATTTACTTCATGATTCGTGATCTGACGTGACTCTAACTCTCAGGATCTTGATAAACATCTATGTTAGGGTTTATGGTCCATACTTTGGTGGGGGTGGGAGGGGAGATATCGCTAGGCTTAGAGGGATGACCGTGAGAGATGACGGCTCGACAGTGGATAGTGAACATGAGCAGGAGGTGAGGCGGCGGCCCAACGGTGGACAGTGAGCACGGGCAAGCGGTGAGGTGTCAGGGTTTGCGCTAGAGCTACGGAGATGGAGGAGGGTACCAGAGGCAGGGGACATGATGAGGACCAGAGCACCTTGCCATTGCTGGTTTGAGGAGTAGAGGTGAGGGGAAAGGGGGAAGGCCGGGTAGGGGGTGTCTAGTAGGTGTTGTTGGTGTCTTCTGGCAAGCTAGTATGGCCTATGTTACCTTGATACAGTGCACAGCTCACGTATCCATATCAGATACAGTACGTCCTCGGATACGGATACGTATCGATACGCTCTGATACGTATCCCTCGTTAACCAGGTTTCCAAATAAAAATAATAATTATGGATATGCTGCCGATACGTTTCGATGCATCGCCACTAGCCGCCGTCCCGGCCCGACACGGCGACGCCCATCTCATGGAGCGTGGCGACAAGACAACGAGTGCAGGCGGCAGGCTGCGCAGCGCCTCCACCGTTCGCGGCCGTCGCAGTGCCTTTGACTTCCGTTGTGGTGCCTTTGACACGGCGACGCCCATCTCATGGAGCGCGGCGACAAGACAACGAGTGCAGGCGGCAGGCTGCGCAGCGCCTCCACCGTTCGCGGCCGTCGCAGTGCCTTTGACTTCCGTTGTGGTGCCTCCGCGGCTCCGCCGTCCACCGGGCTGAAATTATTACATTTTGGTCCTTTTTGAAAACTTATTTTACAAATAGACCCCTGGGAAAACTTAAACCGGAAATGGTCCTTTTTGGGACGCCAGAGTGGCTGGCGCCGTACCCCAACATGGCGGCACCAGCCACAATGGCGCCGTGCCTGTGCCACCGTGGCAATAGGGCTGTCGTGGAGGTGCTGACTAGGCCGAAGGGGGCGCCAGCCAAAGTGGCGCCGCCCCTCATACCACGGCGCCAGCATGGCTGGCGCGCCCCTCCTCTGCGGGCCCCACCAACTTTCTCCCCCCCCCCAAAATTTTCGCCAAGTCTGTTCTGCCTCCAGGCAACGGCTGGCGCCCCCCCCCCCCCCCCGACCGCGGCGCCAGGGTGGCTGGCGCCCCCCTCCTCCCCCCATCGAAGCCCTTCTGCCTCCGGGCCTCGGCTGGCGCCGCCCTCATGGACCACGGCGCCAGGGTAGCTGGCGCCGCCCTCCCCCAGCCCGAAACCCTTCTGCCTCGCGGCACTGGCTGGCACCGCCCTTCCCAACCTCGGCGCCAGGGTGGTTGGCGCCGCCCTCTGCCTCCCTGCAAATTGAAGATCCATATTGCACAAATGTACCAATTCACAGTTCGCAATTCAAATCACAATTCACAGATTCGTACAGACTAAAACAGGTTCCAATTGCACAAATCACAATGCCAAAAGTCCATCACATAGTCCTCAGATAGTCCATCACATATTCCACACATCAAACAATGCCAAAAGTCCATCACATATCCCACACATCAAACAATGCAAAAAGTCCATCCTATATTCCACACATGAAACAATGTCAAAAGTCCATCACATAGTCCTCACATAGTCCATCACATTTTATATCACATAGTGCACCACATATGTCATACTACCAACCAATAGATTAACTTCATACAAATTACTTCTTCCGTTGCAGCCGAATTGCTTGCGAGCCCGGAGTGTACCTACATTTGAAAATCCAATGTTTAAAACATTTTAAAAACAAAATAAGGGAAATCAAATAACATTTGAGAATGGTAAGCTCATTTTACCTCTTTTTCGCTGCCCGAGTGGATCACAAGTTGTATTGCGTGGGTTGCGTCCCCTGAGGCGCGTCGGGAAGCTGTGACATGTCTATCTCCTCGGCGTCTGGTGCGACGTAGTCCTCATCCTCCTCGTCCTCATCGTCATCGTCGTCGCTAGGTGGAGCCGGCGCCTTCCCCTTTCCCCTCCCTTGCTTAATGCGTGACGACGACGAGCCACCAACTCCTTCACGCTCTTCTATCCTGATAGAGTGTCGAGCAGTACTTGGACGCGTGGATTGAGGTAGTGGTGGTGGTTGTCTCCCCGGTTGGTACACGTCGTCCAATCCAACCGACCTGCAACCTAATCTTGCTGCAAGTTTCCGGCACCTTTGACGAACTTTCTGCATTTCAAAAAAAAAAGAAGTTTGTTAGGCATAACTCAAGTAATGCAAAGTGCTAAATAAATTTTACCTCTAAAACATTGCGGAGCGTGTTCTCCGTGTCCTCACCACCCCTCGGAGCTTGGAGGGCATGCCCCATTTCATTCACACTCCTGAGGAGCTCTCTCGACTGAAAGCGTGAAAAGATATATGTTAGGGTCTAGGGTGCAAATGGAAGTAACTTTGACAAATGCAAGAAAACTTACGACTCTGTCTCTAAGTGGGGCGTGCTCCATTTGATATCCAACTCTAGTCCGGACATCATAGGGATTCCGCCCCTCATCGGAGTCGCGGTCATCCTCTATGTCGGCTTCCGTCCAAGTAGGGCGGAGGAACAGTCTATATGTCCTATGCAGCCAACGAAGGTACTCTGAGAAAAGATGATTTTGGTGTATAGTCTCGATGTACCTATCGTTCATTCCGGCTGTTCTCCATTCATCAATGTATCTATTATGCTCTAGTCCCCAGTCTTTCACCTTCTTTGTTCTCACCCTGTCATACCTAGACAAGTAGAAGGTGATGAAACAGTAGTGAGCATCAACAAGGGTTAAATGGTACAAAATTGAACATTGACAATGAAAGCAAACAAAGATAAGAAATATTTACTTGTGTAATTCAACTCCAGTTGAGATGTCCTCAACCGGCCAATCTTGTTTCTTCCCGAACTGTCGCATGACACGGTGCGGAAGGTGGTACTCAACTGCCCAGAAACAAATCAATGGGCACTGGTACATGAAATAGTCAGAGTCTCGATTGCACATCGAGTTCAGGGTCAGGCTTGAAGCCTCATTTGTGTGGTATGGTAACCACTCAATCTGCAAAAGTTGAAGAGATGTCGTTGGTTAGTATCTTAATTAAAGAAGTAAATGTCTAACTAGAAGTGATATTGGAAGCACTTACATGTTGAGGCTGCAAGTAATCCATCTCATTGACATAATGCTTGTATGCCACATCCCGGTGAGCATGTGCAGTGGCAGTACTCTCAAAAAGGTAGGCCACTGTCTTCTCCAT